AGAGAGAGAGAGAGAGAGAGAGAGAGAGAGAGAGAGAGAGGTGAGAGAGGTGAGATCATTTGTAATTAAATAATAAAAAATAGTAAAGGAAAAAAGAAAAGGAAAAAACAAATAGAGAGGGGCAAATCTGTCATTTGAAGAATTTTTAAAGTGCTTTGGACCAAACTCGCAGTAAAATGAAAACTTTGGACCTGTGGTGCTAGTCCAAACTTTTTTAGACCAAAGTGACAATTTTGAGCTAACCACAGGGACCGTTTGTGCACTTTAGTCTGAAATTAATATTTTGGTCATTTTAAACTTTGCATTATAGGTAAAGGTGTTTAAACCTAGACGGCAAAGTTTGTTTTCTTTTTATTGAAAAACTATTCGATTTCGGTTTTCTTTGGTTTGGGATTTTGGTTTTAGTTTAGTTCGTTTTTAATTTTTTTGGTTTCGGTATGTCTTTTGCTCGCTCCTAGTTAAAGAGTTCAGATTACAAAAAGTTGCTATTGTGAAAACAAATAAACCATTCTTAAAAAAATGCACAAAAAAAAAACCCTGCCTTTTAACAAAAAAAAAAATTGTTCTAGTGATTAAAACAGAAATAAATGTTAAAATTAAAAGGCTTTAGTGGAAAAAAATGACATGGGAGATCATGATAAACGCATTGGATTTTTTGTTTATTTATTTTATTTTGTAAATGTAGATGATATTTTTTAGAACAAACTAAAATGGAGTGCTTAAACCAAATTTTGACCAATCTAGTCTTATTCTTTTGTTATTTACCTTTTTTTTTATGATCATACTAAACTTTTTGTAGCAAATAATAACGACCACAATAATAACCTAATGAGAGTTTTTTTTGGCAAAATAAGCTTTGTCAAAATCAAAGAAGCTGTTGTGTTTTACCTTGTCTACAAATTATTGTGTTTCACCCTATCTATGTATTCACAAGCTCTCTACATAAAGCTTTGCGCTATTATATTTCATTTTGGATAAAGCCTCAATTGCCTTTTTCATTTGCAAGGTTGTGTGGATTTTGGATGTAGTAATTGTAACCAACATCAGGTTATTTTGATGGAAAAATATGGGAAAAGAACTTCAAAGATATAATTTTTTATTTCTGTATAGCATAAATTTTCAAATAATAATGTAAAACTTTATAGAAAATGATTTTAAAAGTTCTGATAATCAAATATATTTTAGGCAACTTACGAGATGTTTACAGTAATATATAAAAAAAATTCAAATAAAAAATCATTTTGATCAATCACTTGTTTAAGGGATGTTTGATATCATATTTTTAAAAACGTTTGAATCAGCCATGACACTTCTAAAATGCTTCTTACTCAATCATATTCATATATAAGTGGTTGTTTGATTTGCCTTCTAACCGGGTCCGAAGCTAGGACCCGGTCCTTAGTCCCAAGTCAACATTTTGTAAAAGTCCATATTTTTTTGCTCATTCGGTCCCCATTGTTTTCCCTCCTGATCCAGTTTGTTTTTCATTTTGCTTCTGATGAGCCCCTCCCTTGGACTCGGTTCTTAGTCCACATGTTTGGCGTTCCATTTTGCTTCTAATCTGGTCAAAACCTTTAACACAGTCAGCTTCTAACCAGTCAATTATAATCCAGTTAGCAACTATCAAACCATCACAGTTATCTTTTGATCCAATCAAATCCGACTAAATTTTTAAATACAAAAATAAGAAAACAAAAAACGTCAAAAAGGATTAGTAGATGGACCGAAAATGTCAACAAGTCAGAAGTCGATAAAAACGCCTGGCTGCAACGATTTTGAATTGGGGAAATTAGGGAGCGAATCTAGAAACATTTGTAGATCCCTCTCAAGTCTCATCTCTTCTTCAATTCACCCAATTTCTCTCTACTTCTCTCTCTCTCTCACACACACTACATTACTGCAGCCAGGGCTCAAAGTAAAGGAGCTATGGAGCTAATGGTAGTTACTTTGATTATGGGCTTCCTGTTGAGCTTGTTGTTTCTAGCCCCTCGATTCATCAAATCCGGTAAATCTTTTCATTTCCTCTTACATTTCTTTCGTATAATCCAGTGAATCGGAAGTATCCAATATTATGCACAAAATTTGTATGTATTTCTAATCTTCGGGTATTTGTGTAATGCAGATCAAACCAAGAAAGTTCATTCAGATACTAACATCAAGGTACTATCTTAACAAATAAGAATTCTGATGTTTGAAACAACCATATATTTGTTATACAGACAACATTGATGCTATGGATTTCAAAGAACACTAGATTTGTATTTCCAAAACAAACAAGTGCCTAATGAATAGTATTATAATGGTGTATACTTTTTAATTGCAGACTGTAAAATCATACAACAAGGGTGTGGTTTCCTTGCATAACAAGAGGACAGATTGCTGGATCATCATCAAAGAGAAGGTTCTGTTAGGTTATATAACCTAGATAATACTTCATTCCATCACTATGAAATTAGGGAAAACCTAAAAAAGTTTATATGCTTCACATAGAAAAAGGAAAAATGATGACATTTGTTCTCCTCAATCTTTTTTCCTCACATATATATGATTCTTGATCTACCATAGGTATATGATGTTACCCCTTATGTGGAGGAACATCCTGGTGGTGATGCAATTCTGGCTCATGCTGGTGATGACTCAACTGAAGGATTTTTTGGGTAAGTTTCTATGCATTTGAGAAAACAACTATTTGAATTAATCTGCATAGGGCCCTTTTAGATATATGGAGTTCTTGATTTTCTTTCCAAAAATAGTCATTTGATTTGAGCAATTGGATATATTATGCAACCCAGATTGAGACTATTTTTATGAAATTTTATTCAGGCCACAACATGCAACCCGAGTATTTGATATGATTGAGGACTTCTACATTGGGGAGTTAGAGAAGTGATGATATTAAATTGTTGATCTATTTTAGCTGATAGCTTTTCCTTTATATGTAATCCATTTGAAGACATCAGATTAATTTGCACTAGTGTTGATCTTAAGGAGATTGACAATTGAATAACTTGATTTGAAAATCATGTGTAGTTTTCTATAGTTGCGTTTGTGTTACATGACAGACTAGAGAATCCGTTGAGGGGTATTTTCGTCTTTCGATAATGATGCTGATGCGGATTAGGGCATTTATGGTTTTTGTAGACGAAAGATTATAAATTCTTAGATTTTTATGGAGTATTATAAACTGGAATCTTTTTAGGGGTATTTACAAACTACAAACTACAAACTACAAACATAACTTGTAAAGTGGAATATTATAAATTCTTAGATTTTTTGTTGTTCAATCTTCAAAACATGTAGAATATTTAATCTTCAGTCGTTAATGTTGTATATTTATTTGTCTTTGCTGTTCAATCTTGAAAAAATGTAGAATATTGTGATCAACATCGAATATTTTTCTTCTTCTTCCTAGTTTATCAAATATGTCTTCAAGTGATTCTTTGACTTAAAAGCTATAAACTGCAATAAAGTAATGTATAAACTTAAACTGATAAAAGATATGAAGAGTTATAGTGGTATATTAAAAGTATGTTACTTTTGTAAAACTTCCTTAAATTATGAGGAATTGTAAAGTTTGGGGCCTTAGGTGCCTTATGATGAAACTGATGATGGAAATTGGAAGATGGTGGTTTTGTTTTTCAGCAATTGGGTTTATACTTGTGTAATAATATTTTTTATTTAAAATTGTGCAATAAAGAAGTTTTAAATCGAAATATATAATCATGTTTTATTCGAGAATCAAGATATGTAAAATTGTAAGCCATAACCAATTACTTCTTGACTTGATATTAGCTAAGTGTTATTCAGTAAAACTTTATCGCATGTACCAATTTATTTAACAATCTTTCATTTCTTATCAACTAATGCAGCGATATTTTTCATTTTTTTTATTAATTGATTTATCTGATTTAAATTTCAAACGGTTAGTAAGTTACAAACGAAATATCATTTTTTTTTAATTTTAAAGTAAAACATGGGTACATATTTTGTCTAAAATACTTTTTTTTTCCTAATATGTGTCCTAAGGGATTTTCTTCATAAATTAAAAGAACCCTAAGGGATTTTTTTTCTAATATATGCCCTAAAGACATACATAAGAACTATTAATTACTAGGTGTGAGACCCGTGGGTTTACTAAAAATAAAAATTTAATATAAATATTTAAACATTAAATATTTTATAAAATAACACTTTTATATAATATAATGTAATCTTTTGGAACATTTATAAAAGAAATCAAATATTCTTTAGAGCATTTATGATCATTTATTATCAAATTAATAGAATGATTTTCTTTCCTTATAAAACTTGTTAGAATTTTATTTTAAAAAATGAAAATTCCCAAAAAATGACAAATGGAAAATAATAATTCTAAAATTCCCACAAAATTACATGTGTCAAAACTCTTGAGAATTTGACAAGTAGCAAAAAAACATTCATTTATTAGAGAGGATGGGAAATATTATTATAATTAAATGTAAAATATATTAATTATGAAGAATATTTTTTATAATTAATTAATTTCATATTTAATTATGATAATATTCATTATAATTTAATAGTTTTAATATTTCATATGTGTGCCTTAGTCACATGTTAGAAAATCAAGTGACACTTTTTTCAACTTTGAATATTTAATGGATAAAAAATAGCAGAAGCGGCTTTAAAAAGTAATTTGGGGTCGAATCCGAGTGAGATTCTTCCATATAACAGCATACATTAGTTGCAGATTCGTTTCTAATTCCACCCATTTCTCACATACAGGTTCAAATCAAAGCAAACAGAAACAGAAGGCGATTGAAGAATAAATAAGTGTTGCATGGCGGATTGTAAAAAAATTTCAAAATTGAACTCTATCGATCTCTCATCTCCTCATATTCCCACCTCTGTATCCTTACTCAAACAGGTTTCACTCTCTATCTGTGGGAAGTGAAAGGATTTGTGTTTGTTTTTGTGTGTATGTGTAAGTGTATTCAGAAGGAGGTATAGTTTGATTTTGAATGTTTAATCGTCTCCAATGTATGCGGATTTCTTGTATGCATATATATCATCAAAACAAACCCCATTTAAGTTTTCTTAAAGATTACTAGTCGTTAATTTGATCTGATTTATATTTCATAGGCTTGCATAGATTCCGGTTTCTTCTACGTAACAAATCATGGAATCAGTGAGGAATTTATGGATGAAGTTTTTGCGGAAAGCAAGAAGTTCTTTGACCTTCCATTAGAGGAGAAAATGAAGCTTCTTAGAAATGAGAAACACAGAGGCTTCACTCCTGTTCTTGATGAACTCCTTGATCCTGCTAATCAACTCCATGGTTTGTTCAAACTCAAGTAAAGCTTATAACAATCCACCTGTTCTTTCTAACTTTCATCATAAAACTTTTCACAACTCATTTGCACAATACTCAAAATATCATAGGTGATCACAAGGAAGGATTTTATATTGGTATCGAGCTTCCTGAAGATGACCCTGAAGCCCAAAGAACATTTTATGGGCCAAATTTATGGCCTGATTCAGGTAATTCTAATTTCAACCACTGTGTACTTGATTTACATGGGTGGAGTTGTTGGAAAAATAACCTTTTTTGAATAAATATTCTAATTTGTGTTATTATTTTATGTTGTTTGAATGTTTTTGACAGATATCTTGCCTGGATGGAGGCAGACTATGGAAAAATATCATCAACAAGCTCTGTAAGTTTTCTTGAGCTTATAACGCACCAAATTTTATGACTATTAAGTTGCATAAAATTTAACAACATATAAACTGCCAATTTTCGTATTTTTTTAAAACTTCATGTTTATCTGAGTTTTTTTCTTTTAGGGAAGTAGTTAGAAAAATAGCAAGATTCATTGCCCTTTCTCTTGATCTTGATGCCAACTTTTTTGAAAGACCAGAAATGCTTGGCAATCCGATTGCAATCTTACGCTTGCTGCATTATGAAGGTGAGAATTTAAACTCAAGAATGATAATATAATTTTTAATTTTTTCAACATTATATTTTTAATTAAAGATGATAAAAAATGGTTTATGTTGTAGGCCAAATATCAGACCCTTTGAAGGGAATATATGGAGCTGGTGCACACTCTGATTATGGTTTTATAACACTCTTGGCAACAGATAATGTTTCTGGACTCCAAGTATGCAAATATTAGCAACAAATACATGTTTTTGTTTTGAAAGTTTTAATTTTTATTTATTTTTTATTTATAAAGATATGCAAGGACAAAGATGCTGAGCCTCAGGTGTGGGAATCTGTTGAACCATTAAAAGGGTAAGACCATTAAGTAAAAAAGGAACAACATTTGACACTTTACACCATTGGAGAATAAGAAGATTGATACACTAAGATGATAAATTATGTGTCTTTTTGCATTTACAAATTACTTAATGGATTTATAATAATCTTTTCAGAGCCTTTGTGGTAAATCTTGGTGATATGCTGGAACGATGGAGCAACTGTATTTTCAGGTATAATAAGTCTCATGTTATTATTTTACATAATTTTGACTTTTGAGATCAAATGAATATTCTTCAAGATGTCAAGTCTTTGTAATTGTCAAAGAGGTTTTTAATATTAAGATCTTGAAACAGATGCTTTCTCCAGAGAAATAATGTCAAAGTTGAAATGAAATGCATATATATATATATATATATATATATATATATATATATATTCTATTTTGACTCTTTGAGGTGATAGGTTTGACTTCATTGACTTTTTGTACAGGTCAACGTTACATCGGGTGTTGGGAAGTGGTCAAGAGCGATATTCTGTACGACCTTTTTATCGAATATTACTCCGTTTTCTTATTTCCTAATTTTTATTTTTTAATTTAAATGATTTCAATCCTTTATATATAAAAACAAAGAACAATACAAGTTATCAATTGGTAGATTTTTCAAATTAAAATACTGCAACTAGAAAAATCAAAATAGGATGATATAATAAAAAAATCAATGAAAGTATGTTGCTATTTCTTGTAGATTCCATACTTTGTGTTGCCAAGTCATGATTGTATGGTTGAATGCTTACCTACCTGCCATTCAAAAGAAAACCCTCCCAAGTAAGTATTGTAAAAACATTTTTTTTTATTAAATGTTTATTGCTTTATTGTTATAATTTTTAACAATTTGATTTTATTAGGTTTCCTCCAATCAAATGTGAAACCTACCTTCTTCAACGGTATCAAGACACTCATGCTGAACTTAGTACATACAAAAAACCCTAAATTTCATTTGGCAAATTTGTTAATTAATAAAATAGTGAACATTTTTTTGTTCCCAATACACCCCATGTTTAGGCCTCAATGATATTGTACCTCTTGTAAGTTTAAGTATAGAAATTTGGGTTAATAACCTAGAAAGGTAACAAACTTTTGTCTTTGTTCACATTAAGGTAATCATGTTTTTTTCATTCACATTTGACCATTGAACTTGTTTAACCTGTTCAAAATAGGGTAATATGACCGGTAATTACGGTAATATTACCCTATTATGAACAGGTCAAACAAGTTTATTGGTCAAATGTGTCCAAAAAAAACATGGTTACCTAAATATTGATAAAAACCAAAGTTTCTTACCCGTTTTGGTAATACTGGACAAGAACCGTCTTAGGGACTGTGTGCCTTGGGATCAGACTCCGACAGTTAATGAACAATTAGGTTAGGCTTGATCTAACCCAATTTAGTCCCGGCTAGTCATGGGCTAAGCTGTGTTGCTCGGTCTTTAAAACACATTCAACCTAGCTCCTTAAGCGTATACAACCTAACACCTAACTAGTTGGGCCTAAACTGGGTTGGCCCAAGACTTAACCATCTCCTCATACACAAGACCGGGCAACCCAATTTCATTTCACATCAATGGATCTTATGACTACTTGCACTTAACATAAAGAACTCAATATTACCAAAATAGGTAATGAACTTTGGTTTTTGTTCAAATTTAGGTAATCATGTTTTTTTCGTACAGATTTGACCAGTAAACTTGTTTGACCTGTTCATAATAGGGTAATGTTACCGCTAATTACCGGTCATATTACCCTATTTTGAACAGGTCAAACAAGTTCAATGGTCAAATGTGAACGAAAAAAACATGGTTACCTAAATGTGGACAAAGACCAAAGTTCGTTACCTTTCTAGGTCATTAACCCTAGAAATTTCGTTGTTCCTATTGTTTTTACACTTATTTGACCTTATAAGGTGTTTTCATCTTAGTTGTAATTTAGATTTGTGGTGATAGTAACTAAAATTATCAATTTCCATATTGTGAAACTAGTCTCATATAAAAGACTTATGTCTTGCATATTATTTTGACCTTATAAGGTGTTTTTACACTTTTTTGACCTTATGAGGCGGTGGTAGCCACGTTGTAGCCAAGATGCACAGTCATCACAACCAACATGACTATCATGTGGCATGGTAACATGCTAAAATGATATAATCTGTTAAATGTCATATTTAATAAAAGACTAACAATTTTTGAGCTTTAATGGTAAAAGAATAATGTTAATAGTAAAAACATTAAAATATGTAAATGTTAAGGCTTTTAACTCTTATGTTGAATAACATTTTTTTAAGCCGAAAACATAACTTATCATGGATACATTATTGGGGGGAAATCCTTAAAGGAATATAATAAGAGAGTTTTAATGTACACAAAAATAATACAAAGTTTTTGCGGTCTATAATTAACATGTTATATTTTTATGGTAAATGTTGTATAATAAACTTATGTTTATGGCTTGATTATGTAACTAAACTATTATTTTTTTTATGTAATAGGTCATTAAACTTACAACTTACCGGTCTATTAAGTAACTTTTGTTAGTTTTTAATAGATCATCGTTAACCAGTTATTCTAAATTACACAAATAGTCCCTATGGTTTCATTTTTTTTCATAGTTGGTCCCTCACCGACACTACCACCGTTCACTTCCAGTAGCCACCAATATTCACCTTCAACAATTGACATTGATTTCGGCTTCGACGTCTTTCGTATAAAAGGAAAATGACACAATCTAGGTTAGGTTACTTCAATTTAAAAGATCGTATAATAACATTAATAAGGTAAGTGCCAATTTGTTCGTTTATATTCATTTGTTTCCAACTTTAACCCTCTGAGTTCTATTCTATCAATACAGTTCCAATTTATCGGTGTACAACACAAGTTTTGCAATTTACACACCAAAGTGGTTTTTTATGAACACAAAATGACTGTGAATCATATACTTAATAATTAATCATATGTCTTCAACACGTTCGTTTTAGAATAAACAAAACCTTTCGTGCTTTATTTACAAAGAAGCAGGCCCACAAATATCATTTAAAGTTGGAAAAATGCCTTATAAGGGTAATTATCTTTCAAAATCGTTCAAAAAACACCATTTAAATTTGGTATGTTCAAAAAATACCATTAAAGTAAAGTCTTTGTACAAAAGACATCGAACTACATAATTTGAGTAACTATGTTTCAAAATCGTTCAAGAAACACCATTCAAGTTTGGTCTGTTCAAAAAACATCATCAAAGTAAGGTTTTTGTACAAAAAACACCAATACAACAATATGTTTTGTTCAAATATTACATACTAGTACCCGACTCTTATAGGTTAAATGATGACTTGGCCTAACTATTATGACATTGCAAAATAATTAGTGACAAGACATTAATTGATATATTCCTCATTTATAAATCGATTTAGGGATTCTTCATAAACGAATGACTTCTTCTCCTCGGATTCTCTTTTTCTTCTTCTAAATTGATGATCTCCAACTCAATCTCACACATTTTAAAGACACATAAGATATTTGATGATACAAACACTTGTGGCTATGAGCATCCATCTTGAATTTGGACATCAACCACAAAGACTAATCATGTCAAAAACTTTGGGATTTTTCCCAACCGAACGGTAACTTTAACCGTAATCATTATCATGTATTTCTTGTATATATTTGCTTGGTTATGTGATTCATTTTTTTTAATATATATGTGTAAGCTTTTGCTATGGGTAGTATAACAATCTTGAGCAATACACTTTTTGAATATGTATGCCAATTTGTAATGTGACAAAAATAGTGTCTTGACTAATATTTATGTCAATATGTAGTGTCGTGAAATCTACTTGTTGTTTGCATCTCGTCTAGCTACAAGTCATAACTAAACTAGAATGGATTACAAACTATTATGCATCTTCCGATTTTCACAAATCTCATTCCTTGAGCAACTTATAGACATTTATCCCCTTGTTTTTACAAATTACAGTCGACTGTTCATGAAGAAGCTCTAAATCAAAATTTAAAGGAGGAATGTATCAACTAATGACATGTCACCAATAATTAGCCCAAGTCATCATTTAAATTACAAGAACCGGTTACCAGTGGGTATCATTTGAAAAAAAAATGTAAAGTTTGATGGTGTTTTTTGAATGATTTTAAAACATAGTTACCCTCCTGAGTCATTTCCTCTTTTTTTTTCCTTTAATTATTTTTTACAGGTAACTTTCGGTTACCATAAGGTGAAATTTAAACAAAGTATGTAGTTCGTTGGTGTTTTTTGTACAAATGATTTACTTAGATGATGTTTTTTGAACAGACCAAACTTGAATGATATTTTTTTGAACGATTCTGAAACATAGTTACCCTTATAAGTCATTTTCCCTTTAAAGTTCCGCAGTATCATGATAGTTGAAAATATAAGTGGTTTCCGTCAATGTCTGGTACTTAATATATCAATGTGGGGATATCCTTTTTTTTGGAGATTAAAGTACGTAAAAAGACTATGGATTTGTCGTGGAAATACCATAAAGAAAAACAAGAAATTCTAAAGAATGTGAATAGGTTAGCATGATTAAGGTGTTGTTTGTTTTTTTGGAAAAAACCTCTCTAGACCTCTTATTGCTGCATGGTGCAGCACACGCGCAACACTTTTCATCTCGCAGCTGTTTGTTTTTCAGAAGTCTTCGGATTAAAAAACCTCTGCGCGCGTTCTTCTTGGCGCAGCACTTGTTTTGCCTCTTCCTACCTCTTCCAACCTCTTCTTCTTCATTTTTCTTGCTAAAATATTGATTATATATTGCTGAAATCTTATTTTACATTTTTTTTTCGTTTTTTTTTTGTTTATTCTTGTTGAATTTTTTTTATATTGAATAATAATAATTTGTTGATGAAATAGCATTATTTTATGCTAAAATATCTTTATTTTTTGTTAAAATATCATTATCTTTTGCTGAAATATCATAAATTCTTGCCGAAATGTCATACATTATTAAATTTTCGGTATTAAAAAACTATTTTCAGATTATAAAATCAGTTTATTTTAATTTTTTAATATCTGCAGCAGCATGCAGATGTTAAAAAAACAAACACGCGTCTTATTACAGTCTGCAGCCGTTTGGTCCACCTCTTCTACTGTAGAGGGTTGCAGATGTGGTCCGCAGACTTTATGGATTTTTGCTTCAAAAAAACAAACAACACCTAAGCCTTTGGAGATGGGCAATTGATTAGATGTTGGAGATGAAATTTTTAAACGAATTTTTGAAACGGTAGCAGAGGAATGTTTTGTAAACTTTTTATATGAAGATGGTGAACAACCTATAAAAGGAAAATGACATCGTTTTCGGCTTTGTCATCTTTCTTATCCTTGTCATCTTTTCTTTTCTTTCCTTCTGCCAATAGGTTGGACTCTAATTAAATAAGAAAAACGTGGGGTTGCTGGAGGTGAACGGTAGTGGCTGCCGGAAGTGAACGATGGTGGTGCGGGTGAGGGAGTAATCTCGAAAAAAATAGAAATCATAGGGACCATTCGTATAATTTATAATAACTAGTTAATGAGTGATCTGCTAAATACTAATGAAATTCACTCAATAGACAGGTAAACTGTAACTATAATGACCCTATTGCAAAAAGAAAACAAAAAAAAAAACCAAAAAGAAAAAAAAATTAGTGACTAAATCGAACCATAAACATAATTTTTTTGTGTTACAATGAAAATTTGCTAGGAATATAAATACATCATTGTCGATCTACCGTAAGCCTTTACTCTTTAGACACTTTTTCGCTTTCATTTTTTGGTATGATTTACAACATAACGAACCAAAAGCAAAGTTAAAAAGTTTATCCCAATAAACGTGGTCATCATAAGTTTCAGATAAGATCATATGAAGAGTTATATGACATATCTATGCAATGGAAATAAATAATGGCCGCTTCTAGACATGTATTGGAATTGAAC